ACTAGAGCTACATCAAGCAATAAAACTAGCAGAGCGCAACATTATTAACTCCCCAGGAGACGACGTTTACGAAAGAGCGCTTGAAGCGGCAAGGGAGGAGATGGCAGAATGGCAATGATGGAGATTTAGGGGTCTACAAATGAGGGCTAGAGTCAGGGAATGGGAGGAGGGGTAACAAATGACGAAATTCTTTTTCCAAAAAATAAAATCCAGAGGAAGGAACAATCTCATAACTCAAGTCGAGGGACCAAGAGGGTTAACATCAGACAAAGAAGAAATGCTGGAGGTAGCCTTTGATTTTTACAGCAATTTATACACAACGACAGAGGAGGAGTACCCAAGGGAACAGGTGGTACAAGCTCGGCCTAAGTTCCTGAATCACTTGCAGACCACGATCTTGTCGCCCCACGCGGCTAGATTGGAAGCTCCTCTGACACAAGAAGAATTATGGGAAGCGTTACGATCCATGGCCCCAAATAAAACTCCAGGGAAAAATGGGCTTACAAGGGAGTTTTGGATGGAGTTCTGGCCGATTCTGGGAGAGGAATACTTGGCCTTCCTAGAGCAATTGTGGCAAGAGGAGGGAATAGGGCGGGAGCCAGCAACAGGAATAGTTACGCTTATCTATAAGAAGCGAAGTTCGTTCGATATACGCAATTACAGTCCAATAACCTTGTTAACCCTCACCCACAAGATAGTAGCCAAGGCACTAGCCAATCGCCTATCGACTATTACAGCCAACTGTTTCCAGATAGATCAAACGGAATTTATTCTGGGAAGATTTATCTTGGATAATGTGATGATTCTAACGGAAACAGTCCGGTACATAAGGGATGAGAGAATTAACGCAGCAATATTATTTTTCGATTTCGAAAAGGTGTATGATCAGGTGAGCTGGCCATTCTTACATCAATGCATGGAAAAGATGGGGTTGGGCCCGAACTTTAGGAAATGGACAAGGGTCCTCTATAACCATGCACAGGGGCAGGTGCAGGTTAATGGCCATCTCTCCCCGACCTATGACATGTCAAGGTCGGTAAGACAAGGGGATCCTCTGGCTGCTCCTATTTTCCTTTTCATAATGGAGGAAGTAGCCTCTTTCCTACGAAAAGACCCATCAATTTAGAGACTCATAGCACCACCGGATCAGCAAGGACACAGGATAAATCTTCCTACTACAATTCAGTTTGCAGATGACTTAACAGTACTCGTTAGAGCATCAGACTCCTCCTTTCAGGCACTAACAAGAGCAATGAAGACCTTTCAACTCGTTAGAGCATCAGACTCCTCCTTTCAGGCACTAACAAGAGCAATGAAGACCTTTCAACTCGCATAAGAAATGAAGGTCAATTGGCAAAAAACAGTGGGGTGGTGGCTGACAGAGCAAGGACAAGAAGACACACTCCCTTTCAACAGCCCGGAGGGGCTGCAGTGGATGACACCTCAGGTTCCGCTCAGATACCTAGGGATCAAAATAACAGAAGGTGGAACACATTATTCCATGTCAGCGGATCTAATGTCAAAGATCTTGGCAAAACTAGGAGCATGGTCGGCAGTATATACATCAATATACGGGAGGGCACTAATACTCGATGCATCCAGTTTCTCTATGATGTGGTATGTTGGGTCAATCTGGACTCCACCAAAAGCTACGTCTCAGTCCTTTTGAGAAGAAGAGCGGCGGCGTATCTGTGGATAACTAAACCGAACACTAACCACTTCATATCTAAGGTTGCTTGGAAGCATGTAACCAGGCCCAAGCAGCAGGGTGGCCTTGGGGTACTGGATCCGGACATACAACTGAAAGCGCTTCAAGCGAAATGGGTCCCAAGGCTAATTTCGCAACCAAGGTTATCATGGACATCATTAGTGTTGGAAAAGATAAGACAAATAGCGAGGTACTAAACTCCAAGCAATATGTCGGGTCAGTTCTGGTTGGGCAAAGGTAGGTACCAGGGAAGGGAACAAAGCAGTACACGAGGAGGAAGCTCGGAATCCTTCATATTGGGTGCAGCTCATAAAGCTATGGAAGGAGGTCTTCCCCGCAAGAGTTAGAGAACCTACAACAAGGGAGGAAGTGCTCAGACGACCATTATTCTGCAATGCAAGCATTAAGGATGGACAAGGAAAATTGTTGACGCTTTCGGTGGTAGACACGAGGTGGGGTAGATGGTTGGAGCATGGAGTATGGCAGGTCAAGCACCTCTGGGAAGAGGGGGAAAGGAGGTGCAAAACGGAAGCAGAACTAAGGAGACAACTTAAAGGATGCCACAAGCTTCCGAAAAATCTGGGAATGGTTATAAGAGCCATACCGCAAACATGGAAGCAGCTGCTGCTGGCCGGAAAACAATGGGGTGAGCGGGATTGGGCCACATGGGAAGACGACAACAAACCCAAAGAGGTCGTCAGAGTCCGGGGCATGGAAACCTCCAGGCCCGGCTGGCTAGTAGCGGATAAGTACGATATACTTCTTACACCCAACACGACGTCCCAACTAAATGTGACGACTAAAGCACCGTTATACATCCTTAAACAGTATTTGAGGAAGGTAAGAGTGATAGAGACAGAGGTGTTCACAGTGTATAATTCGGCAGTGCCAATTGAGGAACTGGAAGTAGATCCGGCAGAATGGGCATGGAACACCAGAAGTGCTCAAACACGAGTATCCAGGAGAATAAATATTTTGCATTACACCACGAGAATAGGGTACAGGTTGAGGAACCGTTCTTACTCCATGACACCGACTCTGCTCAAGAGATGGGAGAAGAGAGTAGGGGTCCCAAGAGGTCAATTGTCAAAGATTCCATGGGCAAACATAGGCGCTATACGGCTGGGTCCGGTCAGGAGTATGCAGTGGCTAATAGCCCATATCGCACTCCCTGTGAATGTCTGGCTCAATGAAAGAAGAAGCCACAGACAGAGAAACGTGGAAAGTGAGATATGCAGGGTATGCCAAGAAGGAATACCAGAAACAATGCCCCATTGCCTACTGGAGTGCGTGGAGGCATTGGCGATGTGGGAGGAAGCCAGAGCAATTTGGGGCCAAGTAGCAGGGACTGCCCTCCCGGACTCAAACATCACATTGCTGCTGGGCGTAAGGGTTCCCAAACAGTGGCAACCCTTTCAGAAGCATTTTTTCCAGTTGGTACGCCAATACGGTCTCTGGACCATTTGGAAGAGTCGATGTCAGGCCACAATTGAGGGAACAACAATGCACAGGCAGGAGGCTAGGGAGATTTTCCTCACACTCATCGAAACACATCTCAAGGCTCAGTGGAAAGTGGCGAGGCAGCAGGCACGGCAACAGCCAGAGCAAGAGGAGGAGATCATGAGGCGATTCAAGCAGAACGTACTAGGACAGGGGGCAGTAGCAAACATTCAGGGCGCTCAACTGTTGTTTAAATGGAGAGGGGGGTGACGAGGATATCAGACCAACGGGATAGGGAGAGATGTAGGGTTTGAGAATCGAAAAGAGGGTTTAGGGTTTAAAGCGACGTAGTCGGAGGGGAACAGGGAGAGTGTAGAGTTCAGGAGAGGCAGATAGATAGGAAAGAATGGGGATGACAAAAGTCAAAGGATGGGTTGGGGTTTAAGAGATTAAAGGACGGGTTAGGGTTTAAAGGTGCATAGCCATAAGGGAACAGGGGGAGTGTAGGGTTCAGGGGGCGTAATCTTTTGGAGACAGATATCACGGCATAATTTTTTAATTAAAAAAAA